TGGGTCCTAATGCCCCAGTGTAGTGATGGGGACACTATACTGTAAAAAGCACCATCCTTCAGATGAGACGTTAAACCGAGGTCCTGACTCTCTGTGGTCACTAAAAATCGCATGGCACCGTGGTGTAACCCTGGTGTCCTGGCCAAATTCCCTCTACTGGCCCTTGTCAATCATGGCCTTCTAATAATCCCTATCCATTGAATTGGCTCTATCACTCTTTTCCACCTGTAGCTGGTGTGGTGAGCGCACTGGCACCGTTGTCCTGTGGCTGCCGTCGCCTCATCCAGGTGGATGCTGCACTCTGGTGGTGGGGTGGTTGAGGAGAGACCCCCCCCCCCCCCTCATGATTGTAAAGCGCTTTGGGTGTACAGCAATACACAATAAAGCGCTATATAAATTCCCCATTCATTCATACATAAGAAAAACTGTGAAAGTTAAGCACTGTTGAAATAAATGAATCGTTATATTTAAAAAACAAATGTTGTGGCTTGTTGAAAAAAGACCTCAGTTGTGTCCCAAATGATGCACTATTCGATATCAGTGCTGGGTAGTAACTACAAGTAATCTGGATTATGTAATCAGGTTCCAAAAATGAAGTACTTGTAATTAGATTATATTACAAATATTTGTAATCAGACTAGAGTTATGCTTATACAGTTATTACATGATTACATATTATTCACACAATGGCAATCATTCATAATTTTTTGATTCTCGCTAAATCTTCATTTTCATCTTTTCCTCTCTAAAATAGCCTACTGCTTATATGCATTCAGAAAGTCTTCCAGTTTTAATACAGGAATTCTCAAAGTTTTTTTGTCAGCTGAACCTCTTTCACCTAATATATTTATTTGAAGTACCCACTGATATTTTAAATCAATAACACATTGCTTAAAAACAAATGAAATATTTTATCTTTTTTAGTAAGTGTTTTATTTTACAATGATTTATTTTAATTTGAGGTTTAATTAATTACTAGCTTTTCATTAAACTCATGCACCCCAGTTTGGGAAACCTTGACATAATGTAATTTTTAATGCATTTCGTGTTAATAATAACAATGAATGGAACAAATGAATTTTCCTTCTGTTTGTATTTTTATATCAGTATGGTACAAAATTCTCATTTAAATCAATGTGATGGACGAGTTAGGTAAAACGTAATCAAAAGTAGTCTAGTTATACCTGAAATGTGTAATGTTACTAACTCGTCATGCAATTTGGAATCAGTAATGGACTACAATTTGTAAGTAATCTACCCAGCTCTATTCAGTATGCACTTATATACTATTTACTCTACTGTGTAGTGTATGAATTCTAATAGCCTCTTCCCCTCAGCTGTGTAATGTAAGGATGACTGCAACAGTTAATTAAGTGCATCATCTGGTTATTTGAAGTGCACTTTTTTCATTTTGGAGTGTTCAGTGAACACACTGCTGACACTATTCATACTACAAAACAGCTTGGAGTAGTGCATAATTACACATCTTTACTGTAGGAATAAGCTGTTTCTTAACTGACCATGATCACATTGGATGAAGACATTTCATTTTATCCTGAATGAATGCATGTGATGTTTGTCTACAAAACCCCTCAATCCCGCTCCAAAAAAAAAAAAGGCAGGCACAAAGAAAACACTGAGATTCATATCTTTTATTTTTTTTTCTGGCATGTAAAGTACAAATAATTAAACAATTCCATGAAAAATCCTCAAGCGTCTTCAGCTGAAATCCCAGTAATAAATATCCTAAACTAAACTGAAAGGTTTATTATTTTTTTCCCCTTTGTTATGTGTTTGTCTTTGTTTGTTCGTGTTTGGAAGTATGAGATTTTTTATTCGTGACACACAGACACTGAGATCAGGAGTTCTGCTTTTGATCTTTTGTTTTTTTATTATTGTTGTTCGTTTGTTTTATTCTGTTATTGTTCTGTTATTCCTGGAAAATGGTTTTAAACCCCCCCCCCCCCCCCTCATGATTGTAAAGCGCTTTGGGTGTACAGCAATACACAATAAAGCGCTATATAAATTCCCCTTTCATTCATACATAAGAAAAACTGTGAAAGTTAAGCACTGTTGAAATAAATGAATCGTTATATTTAAAAAAAAAAATGTTGTGGCTTGTTGAAAAAAGACCTCAGTTGTGCCCCAAATGATGCACTATTCGATATCAGTGCTGGGTAGTAACTACAAGTAATCTGGATTATGTAATCAGGTTCCAAAAATGAAGTACTTGTAATTAGATTATATTACAAATATTTGTAATCAGACTAGAGTTATGATTATACAGTTATTACATGATTACATATTATTCACACAATGGCAATCATTCATAATTTTTTGATTCTCGCTAAATCTTCATTTTCATCTTTTCCTCTCTAAAATAGCCTACTGCTTATATGCATTCAGAAAGTCTTCCAGTTTTAATACAGGAATTCTCAAAGTTTTTTTGTCAGCTGAACCTCTTTCACCTAATATATTTATTTGAAGTACCCACTGATATTTTAAATCAATAACACATTGCTTAAAAACAAATGAAATATTTTATCTTTTTTAGTAAGTTTTATTTTACAATGATTTATTTTAATTTGAGGTTTAATTAATTACTAGCTTTTCATTAAACTCATGCACCCCAGTTTGGGAAACCTTGACATAATGTAATTTTTAATGCATTTCGTGTTAATAATAACAATGAATGGAACAAATGAATTTTCCTTCTGTTTGTATTTTTATATCAGTATGGTACAAAATTCTCATTTAAATCAATGTGATGGACGAGTTAGGTAAAACGTAATCAAAAGTAGTCTAGTTATACCTGAAATGTGTAATGTTACTAACTCGTCATGCAATTTGGAATCAGTAATGGACTACAATTTGTAAGTAATCTACCCAGCTCTATTCAGTATGCACTTATATACTATTTACTCTACTGTGTAGTGTATGAATTCTAATAGCCTCTTCCCCTCAGCTGTGTAATGTAAGGATGACTGCAACAGTTAATTAAGTGCATCATCTGGTTATTTGAAGTGCACTTTTTTCATTTTGGAGTGTTCAGTGAACACACTGCTGACACTATTCATACTACAAAACAGCTTGGAGTAGTGCATAATTACACATCTTTACTGTAGGAATAAGCTGTTTCTTAACTGACCATGATTTTAGTAAATGAAGACATTTCATTTTATCCTGAATGAATGCATGTGATGTTTGTCTACAAAACCCCTCAATCCCGCTCCAAAAAAAAAAAAGGCAGGCACAAAGAAAACACTGAGATTCATATCTTTTATTTTTTTTTCTGGCATGTAAAGTACAAATAATTAAACAATTCCATGAAAAATCCTCAAGCGTCTTCAGCTGAAATCCCAGTAATAAATATCCTAAACTAAACTGAAAGGTTTATTATTTTTTTCCCCTTTGTTATGTGTTTGTCTTTGTTTGTTCGTGTTTGGAAGTATGAGATTTTTTATTCGTGACACACAGACACTGAGATCAGGAGTTCTGCTTTTGATCTTTTGTTTTTTTATTATTGTTGTTCGTTTGTTTTATTCTGTTATTGTTCTGTTATTCCTGGAAAATGGTTTTAGAAGAACGTTGCTAAGTAACTCTGTGTCCCTCCTAAATTAATTGACACAAAATACAACTGGTTGAGAAACAGAGTGACCACTGACCCCTTTATCTAGCTCAGCGCCTCGCCTGGCCCGTCTCCCCCCGCTGCGCTTTCTTCGCCCACGTCTGCTAAACGTTGCGCTCTAGCCCTCCCACTGACTGTTTTATTTTCTAGACCACTCTCTCAGTTGGTTTCATGGCGAGGGATGCTGAGCCTAAGGCCTAGCTGCGGGTCCAGACCATAGACCGGACCGCGCCTCGACCTGCCCCAGGCCTCGCCCCGGGCCCTGACTCGCTATGGGGTTCTGAACGTGGCTGGAAAAACAAGACTGTGATTAGATTAAATAATCAAAAGGTTTTCATTTAACAAGACAAACAAAACACAGGCATTAAAGGCATAACATCTAGCACACAGCATGTATGTTTATACACTTCAATTAATATAGCAGTGCATTCTTTGCCTATGAAGAACTTTTCCAAATTGTAATTCTAAAGCAGTTTTTTTTGTTGTTTTGTTTTTTATTTATTTTTTTTAAATCTATTTGTTCCCTTTAAAGAAAAACAAAAAGGTGTAACCACATTTTGGCAAAACGAAAAGTATTTAAACTTGCAAATATAATGAAATAAACCATAAATATACACAAAACATACTTTCATACGAGGCAATAATAATAATCATAATAATGATAATAAATAGTTTTTAAGTTAACAATAAGTTAAAACTACAAGCTTAAAGTCGCCCAAATAATACAAGTTCATTGGCGCTATATTGATATTTTTTTCAGTTTAAATTATTTATGTTGCAACAAAAGCTACCACAGACTTTTACAAACACAATTAAACACATTTTGATTGAAAAGAAATAATTCTAACTAATTCTAAAACCTGCATACACTGTAAGAACAGCAACTAATTATAAATAATGGAAACAGATATAAGAAATCGTACCCAATAAAAGGAACCAAAACAAAATATTCGACCCACGTGTGTCCTCTATGGCAACATCAACAACACAAATACGCTAAGTTAACGTGTGATTCTGATATGTAAAGTAAATCAATAAATTACAGGAAAAACGATATTCTGAAATCAACATGGGCTAAAACCGATGAAATTTTAGACAGTATTCCATTCACGGTCTTTTAGAATTGCTCTTTTCGCTACCATAGATGGCTGTTTGTTTTAGCTTGCATGGTCAGAGCACTGATAAGGGGGCGGAGGAAGGGATAATGGACATTTTTAGAGACCAGAGCTCTTGGTGCTTGTTTGATTCTCCTAATGAATCTGTTAGTTAACACTTTTTTCATTTTGTTGTTGTTCATTACATTTGATCCTATTCTGCAAACCATTTCAGTGTGAGGTTTAATTTCTTTTTTAAAAAATATATATATATTTTGTTCTCAGTCAATATAAAAACGAAGCACATTGCACTTACTGTTCCATAGGAAAGTTGTTTTGTTTTTTTTGTCTTTTTTTTTAATGATTATTATTGTAGTTGCTCAAGCGGTGCAGTAGCCTATGTTTGTTTCCTGCCATTGTCATTGGCTCTCTGAGGGGATGGGGGAGTGGTGTAGCTAAAGAGTTCGTTGGGACACTCAGAGGGATGATGCTAAAACCTCCCTATGGTCACCAGGTGCACTACAGGGTTGCCCTGGTCACTGTATCTACCCCATCGCTCATTTTAGAGAGTGGACCAATCTTTACGTCTAGGATGTTTGTCCCCTCTAGGGCACACCACCGATGAGTTCCAGGATAAGTTGCGTTAGCGAAAGAAAAATGTGTTGCGATGTTAATGTGGCGTAAACTGAGAGGGGTTAGTTCAAGGTGTATCACAGTTTTGATACAATGGGAATGCTGTTGAAGGCTTAGAGACACTTTGATATGTGTTGTGTGTAAGTGTAAGTGTATATGTGTGTGCACACTTTTTTCCCTTCATCAGTGACAAAGCTAAGATCCCTTGGTTGGTTAGTGCTTGTGCAAAGGAGCAAAATTAGGTGTCAACGATATGATGGTGGAATACAGAAGATATGTGGAGCGGAAATTAAACAAAACCGAAAAAAATCTAGACCGTACAATGATAGACATTTGCTTGTTGTGTTGACATACTGGCGAATATAATTTGTTATGGATTATTGTGTGAGAATTGATTACATTGATAAGTGCAGCTACGTTATATTATGTCAGTTTGCAACTTTTTTTGGTGCACTGAACATGCTGAAGCGTTAAGGTGATTTTTCTTTTTTGTTTTTGCCAATACAAGATGAGATGCTCTGGGTGTTTGATGTGATGCCTTTTCGAGCTTCACTGCACCGCCATTGAAGCAACACTTGATTTTTTTCATCACTTTAGAGAAACGGTAACGTCGTTTTTCCTGCGTAATGCATACATGTACCTATCTGCTGATTCTTTTTTTAAATGTTTCACATGTTTCTCTTTTTTTGTTTTGTTGTATTTTTGAAAATGAAATGGTTTCACTGCATGTAAGTCTTAGTCCCCAACCCTCCGATCCCCTCCCTTACACCGCAGACTGGCCCTCTCTCCCCAAAGTTGAAAACTCTGAAAATAAAAGCCATGCGGTGTGTCCAAAGATTTCCACGATTTAAGAATCTGTAAAAATGTTGCACAAGGTCTTGTTTTTTTCCCCGTATATATAAAAATATATTAATCTCTAATGTAATCCTTTCAAAGAGATCATTATCCTCTTTGGCTAACACAGCGTTATTTAGAAAAGCAAAATGTCACTTGATTTGAACACACATTTACAACTTTCAGTTCTTTTCTTCATATAATGTGAAGTTTTGCGATTTTACAGCAATGTCTCTCCCCATGGAACAGTTTTCGTTTGTTTTATCACAGGGCTGTGGACAGCTTGGGCATTGTCTTTAATGTATCTAGGGAATTTTTAATTTATGAGATGAGTATTTATAAAAAAAAAAAAAAAGATGAATTTTTGTGTAGCTCATGGCTGCGACTTGCTTTAAAGGGCCATGAGTACACAAAATTTGTTTTAGTTTTTTTTGCTTTTGCTTGATATGTAGCTGTTTAGATATGTAAGGGCTGCTAAAACCTGTTTGGGAAAACGAATTATAATGCAATTCTGCTTAGTGAATGGAGCTAAATGTATCTAAGAAGTTATGAAGACCAAGGATGACCAATCCCAGTGGCCCCTGACCTTCATAACAGCTCATTCACTATAAAATGGGCAGCTCAAAGAGCTGACACACAGTCTTTCCTATTCCCGAGCCATTCAAACCTCTTTAAAATGATCTAATATGGTTCTGGATTTTGCAGTCGGCCTTCGTAATTGGTTTGAAAGACTTTCAAAAGAATTCCAAATGCCATCGCCATGGGAACACTGTCGAAATGCCCCTAGTTACACAGACAACTGCATGTGGTGGAATTGATTCTAAATTCTAACTATATAAAACTCAGAGTGGAAAGATATGAGGAGATTCTAGGTTGCCATGTTTTGTGATGTTTTGCTATGCCCTCCGGTGGAGGTGCGTATGTGCATGTGCATTTATGTGCGAGTGTCTCTGTGATGAATGTTGTCTTTCAGTGTGCTGAAGTGATTGTGATGGCCCCCGAGTGACCTCTCGATTTGTGACTACCATCCACAGTTTGTTCAGTGGCTGTTGGGTTGGACCTCAAGTAAGGTGTGTGTGGTGCCATAAGGCAAGGTTGCAACCAAATGTAGAGCCAGGAAACCGTAATCAAAGTTCTATAAAATGCTTACATATTTGGCTATTATAACCACCTTAAATGTTGAATATATAGTTATATCATAATATATATATATATACGAGAACACTGTTTTAATAATTTTTCTTTTTAAAAAAATCACTGATTCAAAATGCCCAAGTGTAAAAAAGTGACTACATCCTCTGAAGCCAGACAGGAGAGTTACCAGGGCAAGATTTTGGGTAAATTGCACATATTTGATTTACTTTTTTCCTTTCATTGACCAGTTCTCTTTCTTTGCCTGAATTAAATTAAATCTCTGCAGACATTCTCTGTCACATTCATTAGACTGTCCCTCCTCATGGATTTCCTCAGCCCCGCCTCACAACTCTGCTAATTCAATGCAGGCAAATGTTAGGAAGGACTAGCATGTTGTGTAAAGAGAAAAGAAAAATGACTCTACTCGTGTATTTTTGCTCAAAACAACTAAACGTGTGTGTGTGTGTGTGTGTATGTGTGTGTGTCGAATGTGTGTTAGAGAGAGACTCAGTCCAGGCCCATGTAGAGTGAATGTACAGGGAGCTCAGTAGCTCCCCCTGCATGTTAAAGAGCAGTAGTGACTAGGCCTTCCTTCAAGCCTTGTGCTGCTTGCTGGTCTTGAAGGAGACCTGCAGCACGCGGTCGCCCAGGCGGTAGCCGTTGAGGCTGGCGATAGCCATGGCTGCCTCGTCGTAGTTGGTCATGGTGACAAAGCCAAAGCCCTTACATTTGTTGGTGGTGAAGTCACGGATGACCTTGACGTTTGTGACGGCGCCGAATGGCCCGAAGAGCTGCCACAGGACGCTTTCGTCGGCTTCTGGGGACAGGTTGTAGACGAAGATGCACCAGCCGGCTCCGGTGGGTCCGGTCAAGTTGACGCCGGCTAGACTGGTCATGCTGTCAATGGTTATGGGGGAGAATCTGGGGAGGAAAGAAGGAGAGCTACCATGGGTGTCATTCTGAAGTTCAGCACAGCGTGCTTCTTATTACCACATGTTCCTGCAATTTTTGTCTCTTTGAGGACCAGACACTCGATCTCCACAGCCTTAAGTAGGTAAGAAAATGGGCAACTATTGTATTAACTAGGATGACCAAGCCAAACTCTAGTCCCTGTTTGAAATAGGACACAGAATTCACAATGTCCAACAAAATCACGATACTTAGCAAAACAGAAACCTAGAGAGGGATGAAGGCAAATCAGAAACAAATCAACGGAAAATTGGAACGAACAGAGGAGACGCAAAAGGAATCTTGTATGTCCATGCTGGTGGAAAAAAGACATTAAAGCAACCAAAACTGAAAAAAAAAAAAATGTTAGTTCAATACAGAAATACATACAAATCAGTTCAATCAAGGAATCAACCAAAAGAACAAAAAGGTTCAACAAAGCCATGCCAGAATGTCCTGCTGTGATATCAGCTACATCAAGCTACTCTACTGAAACAAGTGTTTTCTCAAATCTCATCTGTAATGTTAATGCTTAAGTCAGCAGGTGGTATTCCGGGTACTTTGTTTGAGCTTGTTTAGGCATGGATGCTTTTGAAAGGACACCTTTTTTCAGAAATTACCTCTTGACTCCGTAGCTGGCGTTTAGTAAATTGTCGAGTCTGCAATGCAAGAGGGAGAGTGACGGAGGTGAAGATATTAGTTGCAAGATCCAACAACAAGAGCAAAGCGTTTTCAAGCAGCCACTTCAGCCACCAGGGGGAGCTCTTTACTGGGCACTGCATCCACCAATCAGTAGGCAGCGGCTCGCCCAATGCAGTGCTTACAGAGCCCTCAGGCGATGGATTGAGAGTACTGCGATGAATGCTTGTGAATGCATACATGCCATGACTGAGTCACATGCAGTGTTTTATCTCTAAGCAGGGCAGTTCTTTTAAAAATTTACGCACTGCCTCAGCTAGACCCGCTGGGATTTGTCTAAATCCCCCTGATGGCGTGAACGTGAAAAACGGCAGAGGAAGAGTAGGGAGTGGCAGGGGTGAGGGGTGAGGGCTGCAGGTGGGAGCAGTACCTGAAGCGCTGAGTCTGGTGGTGCAGAGGGCCTGTGAAGCGGCGAGCAGCTGTCTGGTAAAGCTGGGTAAGCAAGGCCTGTCCCGTCTTCTGACTGGGGTTGTTGGCGAACTTCACGGTGATGGGCTCGGCGGCGCCCAGCGGCTTTTGACCATTCAGGCCTTTGATGGCTTCCTCGGCCTCATTTCTTTTGTCGAACCGAATGAAGCCTACTCCGCGCGATATACCTGCTCCAGACAGAAAGCAAGGCAATGTTAGCACCGTCACACAAATGAATGGCAGATAAGTGAGTTATGTGGTCACAGGGGTAAACCAGACTAGATACTTTAGTACTTTATGATCTACTTTACAAAGCAGACAAAAATGATAACTTTTCAATGCAAACCATTTTATTTCCATACTGTGACACATTTCTCAGTGAAGCGGGATTTGATTTTATGCATTGGGAAGTTGGCTTTTGATTAACACAATGTTATTAATATCAGTGAAAAAGGACAAATGGTTTTTGACATTTAGATGTTTTTTTTCAAATGCACAGATGAATAATGCATAATTGTATATTTAAATAGACATTTTTATTCTTTAATTTTAATTAGGTTGTAGTTTTAATTTTAATTTGATCTGCCTTGTATTTTTTATTTAATTCATTTTATCCATTTAATCCCTTTATCGCCAAAGGATTTGTGATTTTGCTCATAATGTTTATCAATCTATCTATCTACCTATCTATCTAAATTAAAATATAAAATATAAAAAACTTTTATTTAAGCTAGTTGCCAAGAAAACATTTATCATTTTCATTTAGTTTAACCTAACATACCAAAATTAATAAAAAAGATATAGTCATATTTAAAAAATAATAATAACATGTACATAAATTATTACTAAAACTGTGACTGAAATTAAACTTATTCAAAATATCAAAATAAAACTGCCAGGAATGTGCATTAAAAATGTAAAAAAAAAAAAAAGGGGGGTCCATTTTGGTTTCATGTTGACTGTGAAGCATATTGCTTTTTTTTTGTGCTATTTTGCGTCACATCCAGAGCTTTAATTAGATTTTTAATCCTCCCCCAGGGTGCCTACGCAGTTTGTGGAAGTGAGGTAACGTTTACCTGTGACCTGGTCTACCAGGATGCGTGAAGTGATGATCCTTCCATACTGGGAAAACAACTGCTCCATGTCTTTCTGACTCATGGTTTTGGGCAGCCCGCTCACGTACAGGTTGGCATCACGTATAGAAGCTGAGCTTGGTCTGGCATAGGACACCTACATCACGCACACACACACACACACACAAAACAACGAGCTGCAGTTTAGGATTTCTTTTCATAGAAATATTAAGAAGCATGCATCAAGACAGCTGTGACAGTCCTAAAACTCCCAGCAGTGCAAACTTTCAAGTGTAGTCGAAGCAGATATGTCACAGCACTGCCACACTAAAAGGCGAGACATCCGCCCACTCTCTCTCATCCCTCCTTCCTTGAAATCCACGTCTCTTACGCGCACTTCACTCGAACCAAACCCGGTTCCCTTATTAAACGCTACTTCAGCTTCACTCTGCTCCTGACAGCAGAAACACGAACCCACTCTCACATTCACCCCCCCCCCAGATCCATCGACACCCTCTGTGCTGATTTGAGACCAGCTCCCTCAGGGAGTCATGAGGAAAATTTGATATCATGGGCTGTTATTCTAGCCAGAGATTTTCCACAAGACAGCAGTATTTAGAACATTTTCCGCTTTGGGACGTGTCATGTAATATCAAGTCCAATTAGGCATTTGTTTTGACGTTCAAATATTCATCTCATTTTTATATTCCCTTCTATATTTCCTAAAAATCCCCCACCAAGCCGTCTTGGTTGTATTTGAGATGCGAACAGATTTTTCTCATAAAATATGTATATTTATGAGTTTCTGGTTGAAAGGGGCTGACTTTGATTGATGGTGTCAGTTTGTGCACATGTGGTTTTTTGAGAAAAAGAGATTGGCCCCTCCTTCTCTTCCATCTCTCCTTTGTGTTCTCTCTCAAGGGGAAACTGCTCCTCTGGCAACCAGCGAATCAAGTAAACAGATTACAAGATGTCCAGCGTCCCTGACAACTCCCCAACACATGTCCTCACAAAATTCCCCATGAAAAAAAAAACAAACAAAGCAAATAAAATAAAAAGCACAATACCAATTCATGCTAATGGAAATGTGACACACTCATTTTCTGAAAACTCTGGAATATTCTAGTATGATTGTTTCTGTTCAACAGTATTACACATACAATTAATACTTCTCATTTATATATGGGCATGTTTTATCTAGAACTTAAATTTGTATTATTTCATTTATTTTTTATTTGTGATCTATTATTGATTTACCTTTAAATTGCATATATAATATATACTTTATATATTTTTCAAACAAATTATATTGCTATGTAATCTGTCTTTTTTTTTTTATTACTTATTCACAAATATACTTTTTATGTATATAGAATTGAATCAACTTTATATACATAATAATATAATGTAATATAATGTACTTTTTGTTGTTTTTCTTAACATTTATAGTGACTTATAGCCTTTTCCCCAATACTAATTACTAATAATGTAATATAATATATATTGTATTTTTTTTGTATTGCCATGTAGTCTTAGTCTTTTTACTAATGTTCTTTTTTTTTTTTACTTATTTACTAATATATTGTTTTAATATATAATTTAATTAACGTTATATTGCATATATAATACAATCATTTTTCTAAACATTTATAGCACCATATAGCCTTATACTCTTTTTTACCAATACTCGTTTTTACATTATTTAGAATTTATTTAAATTATATAAATGAGAAGAAATAATTTATTTCTGTCTGTAACCCTTTTTATTAAATAATGGGCTCTATAACAAAGCATTTCATTTAATTTTTTTCAACACACATTGGCATATTTGAATCTGATGACCTTTATGTAAGCGATTACAGCAACAACAACAAAAAAAATTTAAGCAAGTAAACTTGTTTTTATCATAAACAAGAGTCTATTTTAAATGCGTTCAAGCCATTTTATGACGCCCAACCAAGTTATTGCATGTTTCGCCATGAGACCTTGGCAGAACGATGTGTTTTTCCACCATATGTGTGTTTGCGTCTTGCAGGCCAGTATGACTAAGCAGCGGTATTGTTGAGGTAGGGGTGTAATTGTGCAGTGAGTGGGTGAGTGTACAGCAGAGACTAGAGGGGGGAGATGTATTGGAGGGATGGGCTGCTGCCCCATAATTAACCCTCTCCCTGTCTCTCCCACAGTACAGATGGTGCCTGCAGCCCATATGGCCCCTAATCCTGTCATTGGCATTCGGCTCCTTCCTAGCCTTTGCTCCTGCGCCCCGTCTCCCTCCCTCGCTCACGCCCTCCCTTCCATCCTCGCTATCGGCCCTCTACCTTTATAACAATGCTGTATTGACATGGAAAATATGACATTTGCCCAGCTTAAGGATTTGAGGGCAGTGGGCACACGAACGTTGAATGTCAGAGAACAGTGGCAAAGCTGGATGAATGCACTGAACAAACAAGACGATTAGGACAATAGCAGTCGGAGTCCTTTCACTCTTACCCAGCCCCCTTTATGCTATCCAGGGTCAAACAGCGTTACATCACAAGCCTCCAAGAGGATGGGCATGAAAGTACACGTAAATGCTAACACTAATTTTTTTTAATTTCTTTTTAAGAAAATGAGGTTCAGACAAATAAAGATCAGAAGATGGCTTTGGCACCTTGTTTATGTGAAAAGCGTGAGTGTGCGCGTGTGTCTGGGTCTTCGGATCATCCGTGTTGCTGTGGAGCACAGCATGATGCTTAATTTGGCCTATAGGGGATTTTCAAAGAGCAGATGTATGCAGGTTGTAGACGCTACTTCAGTCTTTAACGGTCCCTTTCTGTCACAACGCACGACTGGAGTTCTCAAAGCCAGTGCTCTGCACCGTACCATAAGCGATCTGTCATTTTTATCTCTTTTGTAATTTTTATTTTTCTTTGTATTTTTCCCAAGGCTGCTACTCTCCAGAATTTACAAATTGGCATATGTAATGTATGTTCATGTATTAGTCATCCTTATTTGACTGAAAGCACTCTTTCCCCAGAACGGCCCCTGGGGTGGAACAGGGTGTCTCACCAACTTAATTAACAATGCATCCGTGATCTTTTTGTTGGAGTCCCACGATCAACAGGCAGAATGATATGCTACAAGTGTCTCTCTTTGTTTTTATGATCCTTCCAGGAATGTAATTGGAAATACATGAAATTGTATCTGATATCTAATTAAGCACTTTATTAAAAAATTTACGTTCAGTTGCACAGGAGAATTTATAGTAGTGCGGGAAGTCTGATCCTTTGTTCTCCCTTCAGTATTGCCTCTTACTCTCATCTCTCTGTAATGCTGCCTCTTCGGTGGAATGATTTATTCTTGCCTTGAGCCCTACCTCTAACCAGGTTGCCCAGGTAACAGCAGCTTGACGACTGTTGCTATTGGCTGGCTTCTTGACTTTTAGCAAACGTCGCATGTATATGTGCAAGTTCGAGCACTCGGTTAAAATCACTTTTTGTCTTGCATTAATAAAATAAGCTTTCGGGGCAGCCAGAATTTATATCTCTGGAAAATTGACACTGACAAGGAGAAAGCTCAGAGAGCTGAGTTATTAAAGCACTGCAAACATGGATCTAGGCAAAACTGACAATTTCACTGTCACCCGAGCAGGAATTTCCAAGAAAAGAGTGTTCGTTTGATCACAAATGGCAATAAAATGGCACATTTTGCTTGGGCAGTAGCCCATAGCCTGTATAGCCTGGGAAATATCATACTCAAACCTACTCAAACGAGCACTGTCTACGTGTTGACACAAACAGAGTGAGTCTTGACACAAAGTGACAGGATCAGGGCAAATGGGATTCGTGAACTGAAGTAAACCTCCCTATGGCAAGCCACCCATCCTCAGCGATGAATGTAGTGAGTTACACAACGCACAGGCTCTTCGGCCACACAGACTGACACGTACACTATCTTACAGCCCAGATACTGGCACCAGCACAGCAGAGGTAGAGGTGGAAGAGCACTTCATCCCAAAATACATGACTCACAGAGACAGGTGAGAGACTGCTTACTGCTGGAGTTCCTTCCACTGCACTGCTTAAACATCACACACCTTCTCAACTGTCCCTGAATGTACGCTATTAAAAATAGGCCTTACGAAACAAAATGTGGCCACAGAGCGGGCTTTGACATTCCCGTCCCAGCCTGTACTTTTCTATTTCTAGGAGAGTTCTCCCTTAATATTTAATGCACTGCATCAGCACCGCCTACACAAGGGTCCAGACTCACACGCAAACAAGAGCCCTGCATCTCATACGCAAAACCTATTACCTTCCCACCAGCGCGCTGATAAGGATAAATGACTGCAAAGATTCCTCTTAGTGAGTCTGTAATTAGAGTCTGCAGAAATGACCGTCAAGCCTTGTCAAACTTTTTGTTTTAGAAAATTGTCCTGTTGAATGTCACAATATACAAATGTAAGAAAAAACATAGCTATATTATAGAAAAGCCATATGGTATACCTACCGTCATTTATTTTCTTGATGAGACTGACTTCAATAAAAATGTAGATGACTTTAAAATATTACAATAAATTAAAATACATTTACTATGTTAAACGCATCATGCCAGATAAAGCTTTTTAAAAAACAGGCCTGAAAGCAGCATGAGATCAAAAGCAATCAGACTGTGAAGACTATCGGCTCACGTCACTTCCTTCATGTCCCTGTGTAGTGAGGGAGCCATTTTCTTAAAATAAACACAGCCTCGCACAAGATCCGGCGAGGTAAACAAATAAAGCATCAGGCTGATCTAATGTGTAGCTGTATGTAACATGTAAACATTAATTTGCAGACTGCCATTGTAGCGATTCCCAGCATTATCTGTAAACGTTGGGAAATGAATCTGTGCTCGTGACATTTCTGACGCCTAATGCAGACTTTAATTTTATCATTTGTAATTCATAAACGTACGTGTCTGGACGGGCCTCCTGACTGAAAAGGGAATGTTGGATTGCCAATAGGCTGTTTCAGTAACAGATTACAGGATTATCCTAAACAAAGGGCATTAGCCACACTCTCACTGCAGCTTAAGGGATCACAGTGGCAGCTGTAAAACAACAGGACACAAGTCAAAACTGAACGGATAAACCCTTTCCTTTGTTATTTATTTTTGTCGGTGAATTGGGTTAATTTCACTCGTGAAAAATCTGCAGCGCGAAAGATCATTGATTTATCACGCGAATACAACAAGTCTCTCTTGTGTTTCCCCAAATAGCGTTATTTTATTTAAAAAGTATTTATTTATTGCCATTTTATGTAAATTATTAAAAGCCTGCAAGAACGCCAGAAACGTTTCGTTTAACGGGAGAAAAAAAAAGGCGCATGCAGTAGGCTATTCCGGTATTCCTGTTCGGTCGCTATCCAGGGTGCTGAATTCGGGAGTGGCTCAACATGCACAACTACCTACAAGAT